CTTTAGTTCCCTGTTCTTTCCATGCATCACGAGATCATTTCATGTGCCTCTGTTTTTCCTGTACATCGCAAGATCTTCCAAGCGCCTCCCCCTACATAACAATTTAATCCAACCCTGTGATGTGAACAGGGACATCTTCAACTGGATCAGAGCCCTGTTACACCTGACGTTTGATGATTCAAATGAGGTGGAATGTTCCTGATTCTGAGGGAATGTTGAAGTAGGAAAAATGCCTCTGTGGTGTTTTCTTGAGCCATGGCGTGTCCCCTGCACCTGCACTTGCGCCCGTCTGCCAGCTCGCGAGCTCTCCAGGTGGGGAAGCGCTCCCAACCACGGCCCCTCCGATGGGTCCGGAACCGGGAAAGGTGCCACTGGTGCTGCTGTACCTCCGCACAACGGAGTACAGCAAAGCCTCCCAGCCTCTCTCCCAGCACCCCCAGGGCCGGTGCCCCCCGAAAGGCCACTGTGGTGCTCAGGGTGGGTGCACGGGCAGGGCAGGCTCAGGCTTTTTTACCTTCATAGGGGTTGATCTCCCTTTTCTTTACATGGAAAGGGCAGCTTTGGAAGGTGAAACGCTCCGTGCTGCCCGCAGGACAGCCCCACACCACCCAGTGCCCTCCGCTCCTCCCACCCCCTGTGGAAGGGACGCGCCGTGGGTGGGAGAGCGGGGCAGGGCTGGGGGCAGTGCCGGCACTTCCCGGGGCCAGCTCGCCCGGCAGGGAGCAGGGAACGCTGTTGTTTGTCCCGGGAGGGGGCTGAGAAGGTAAAAGAAAGGCTCGGGGGGCGTCTGGAAGCCAAGCAGAGGGTGCCTTTGTGTCTGCCCGAAGGTGCTCTCGGCTCCCCGTTCCCTCTGCACAGGCAGTGCAGAACAGCCGCGGGGCCGCTGAAGGAAGAAGCCTCTGCTGACAGGGCTGCGCCTTCCGCAGTCTGGAGCTGCTAAATGAGGCCTTGAGTTCGTTTGTATTGACAGAGAGAACTTCAGAATTCCCCCCCAGCAATGCCTGCGTTGGGTTCCCCGTCCCCCTCCCCTCCCTTGGCCAAGCCTGATGCCAGGTCTGGGCAAACGAGCTCTGCAGCTCTTGGGGACACCCGGAATGTTCACAGGGGGTCGGTGCCGGGGTCGGTGGCAGTGCCGAATGGGAACCACTGAACGCCCCGCACGCCCCGCGCCCCGAGCACACCGCTGCTCTGCTGCGGCAGATCTCTGCTGCTTTCTAGGGGAGAAGAGGGAGAAGAGGTGAGGCTGATCCCTCTGCTCCCAGAGGCTCCTGCCACAAACCAAATGCCTTCTGTGTCTCCATCAGCACCCCGAAATCCTTCCACCCCAGCCTATGCGCACAGGACAACCCCTCCCTGGTCTCCGCACAGATAGGACGGAACGAAGCACCCAGTTGCTGCCACTGAGTTAAAAAAAAGAAAAGAAGAAGTTTTATTCTCTTTTGACACTGCACATGCCAATGCCAGTGTCAGTGCTGGGGGTGGTGTCTGGGTCGGTGTGGATGCAGGTGACGGTGGCAGTGTCAGTATCGGTGTTGCTGCGGGTGTCAGTGTTGGTGCAGGTATCGGTGCTGGTGTTGGAGGCGGTGTTGGTGTTCCACTATAACCAGGTTCCTTCTATCTCCATTCATGTTCCCATGCAGGTTCTTTTAATCCAAGAATTCAATGAGTCAGACTGTTACTGAGGCTTCAAAAGTGCAAAACATTTCCAGGTACTCACCCACCTTAAGGTGTACTTGCTTCCCGTCTCAGCCACTGTAAACCCTGCCTAGCATAGCGTACCTCTTCGGTCATGCTGCTGTTCAGTGCCAGAGCGCACGTCGCTGTGCTGAGTTCAGCAAAAATCTCTGGAAAAAGAGGAGGGAGGGAGGGAGAGAGGGAGAAAACATGTGGTTGGTTTCACACAACAGGCACATCTGACAGGCGAGGGTCAGGGAGGAGCAGCAGCAGCACCCTGTCAGTCAGCAGGTCCCGCTAAACACATCGTTAATGCAGAGAGCTCAGAGATAGTCGAAGGCAGGGAAGCGTAACAAGCACAGAGCACAGGGCACGTGGGAGGAAAATGCACTCACACAAGCACACCCACACTGAAATGCTTCTCCAGGCACTGACTCTGAAAGGACACCGAGACGCCACGGTAGGTGGGCAGGAGTTTGGGTGTTCACACTCCAGTCTCCCTACCATGTGTCTCCTCCAGGTTTTAAACCGGCCAAATTTGGTGTCTTTCTCAGCGATGGCTGGCAGCACACACTGCTGACACTGGGCTGGTCCCTTTACTTTGTCCATTCTCAGACCCTGGAGACATCAGGAATTATCAGCTGAACAGGTTTCAAAATCTTTACAGCTGGCCAGGAGAGATATCTCTGGTTTGGGTTGCTTGCAGTGGGGCACGTCAGACAGATTTAAGAGCGTCCTCCTCTCCTGATGCCAGCTCCAGGTCTGCACAGGTGGCTCCAACATCAGTCACAACTAACCACTTTCCACTGATTTTCGACTTCCCTCTTTAAGGGAACTCAATAGCTGAAGGCCACTGCTCTTTCCTCCTCCTCTTATACCCTACAAATTGCATAAAAGAATTAAGGATCTGGCTTTTTCTTTTTTTTTTTTTTTTTTTTTTTTTTTTTTTTTTTTTTCTTTGATGTACTTGCTCTCTGTACCTCTGAGCATCTGTACCTTAAACGGTGACTATCAACAAGCTCCAGTTCTGAAACTCCTCCACCATCCAGAACAGCAACAACAACTGCCAAGCCCACCAGAGTATTTACTATTTTCCCTCACAGATCCACTCCCCTGGGAGTATTTGCTAGCCAGGTTTTGTCCTTCTCAGTGACAGTCTTTTATCAGCTTTTGGAGGATATAAACCAAAACATTACACACGCATTGCTGCTGCAAGCACAGATTTGCTCAGAGGACACCCAGGAACTGAAGTTACTCTCTTCAAAGGAGACTTGCAAAGCCTTCTGAATTTCAGCAGCTGCCTCAGCATGAGGATTTTTACAGCCCTCCCACAATTCAGCCAGGCTCATCGTGCTTATTTTCTCGTGCCAGTCTGCCAACAGATGGTGGAAATACATCCTGTCGCCCACAGCAGCTCACAGAAGTTTGGCTTTTAAAGCACTCTAGGGCTTTGGCTTATTCAACACTGCTTGTGCCACAGGAGAAAACAAAACTGCGAACAACAAAACTGTAAAATCCAAAAAGCAGTATCAATTTTAGGAAATGCTACTGGCAAATACTGGTCACGTGCCCAGCAGGGACTCCAATGCAAGAGCTGCTCAGCTTCTCTGTTATGGAGAGAAGCCAGCTTCACCATTTTCAAGGATAAAATACCTACAAGTTTGACAAACCAACTAAAACACAAGGCTACTGGCCCAAAACCTGTTTTTACAGAAGGGGAACCAACTCAGAAAAGCTAAGTGCCCCCGAGGGAAAAACAAATGGCAAAAAACCTCTTATGCCTCTCATGTTGCCATGAAGCACTTTGTCTGGTTCCCTGCACTTGAAACCCTCATCCCTTAGCTCTTAAAACCTCTGAGGATGCCAAGACAACTTCTGAATTGGAACGCTCATCAATTTATCACCACCGGGTGTCTCTGCCAATAACCTGCCAATGAGCCACAGCTGTCTGCTTCAACATACGGACGCTTTGGTCTTTGTGTATGGTGTTTGCTACACTGAGTGTTAGGATTAAAGAAAGTACATGCACACAACCACAACACATGTGACCGAAAAGCCAGAGGGCAAAATTTACCCGTGTTCTTCCTGGCCAGTGCATTGGCTTTTTCCCAAATATCACAGGCATAGAGGATATAGGAAGTGATGCTGATGCAGGCAGAGGTGATGTTTGGGATGTTGTAGGGAACAGTGACTGAAGAGCCAATGCTGTTCCCACTGTAGCTGCCAGCATAAGTCATGCCTGTGCTTCTGCAGGAGAAAGAAATAACGTCATGAGTGTTTAACTTCAGAGTGAAAGGCATCAGACTATTTTATGCCAGGAGCTATTTGGTATCATCCAGGCCTGCAGGATGGAGTGGAGTGTTGAAAATTGAGATGTGTTCAGAAAATGTCCTTCAAGTGCAAGGCCAAGGCTTTTGAAGCAATTTGTGACTCAAAGGACTCCTCTTGGCAAAAGAAAATATGGGATCAAACATCAGAAAGGGCCACCCATCCACCTCCCAACACCCAATTGTGGAAACCTTCACCAGAATATCTGAATGCTTTTTCCAAACGACTGCCATGTCAGCCACGCTGAAGCTCCCTGCTGATGGAGGCTGGAGTTTTCTGAGAGCTGGTCACAGCAGCCAGGTCAGCCTACACACACTTCTTTATAGCCCTAGGGAAGGTGAATGTGGACAGCTGCCCGCCTTCCAACACAGGCTGGCTTCATCACATCACTACTTCACCCAGCCCAGTTTTAGTCACTGGTAGGAGAGGGCTTCCACCGCTGCTCTGGGGAGACCGTTGACTTCCCAGTAAACTGTACCGTGCGAGGTGGCAGAAAAATAACTGGAATTTCAGCATTACTCTTAAAAACCAACCAAGCCTCTCCCAACCACAGCGTTAGAAGGGACAGGCGTGGAGCTGGGTAGCTCTCTGCCAAATGCAATTGCCACCGCACACAGAAAAACTCTTTCTTACTCCCTGTCATTCAAACAGGGCAAACACAGTTATGTGACAGCTTGACTTTGACTTTTGCTGCCACGTACACAGCACCACGGCTGCAGGTACACAGGAAGGAGAAAATGCTCAACAACTCAGAAATTAGAAAAGTAGCTTCTTTTTCTTACGTGGTGACTGAGCCAAAGAAAACACTATGGAAGCTCTGCTACCACAGGGTGAAGGCATAACTCTGGATCTCATAACAACAAAAACCCTTTCCAAGGAGAAAAGACAGGAAGGAGAGAGCAGAAATACTCCTGCCCCTAACGGTAGGATTTCAGGGGGCAAGAAGGAGCGAGTGGCGAGGCACTCTCAAATCCAGCTTGCAACTCAAACACTCAGGCTCCTGTTTTCGCTCACACCTTCGTAGAAACATGACAACTTACGTATTTTTAAATCTGACTTTGCAGCACACGGAGAATGTAATTGTGTTGATCTAGAAGAGCTCTGCAGCAAGGAACAGAACTCTTGTTAGGTTTGTGCTATTCAGGCAACAACAGTAAGTCCCACAGCCATCCAGCTGGCAGCTCAGTAACACATGTGCCCTACCTTGAAGTGGTCATTCAGGATCCTGGAGTACTTCATGGCAGCATCTTTCTTGTAACGGAACATGGCCATATGCAGAAGGGACTGGCAGCGCATGCTGTGAACAGAAACATACCCAAGCATCAGTGCTGAATCTGGCTGCTGCCTGCTCAGCAGTCATCAGCCTTGTGGGACAGAGGCAGGCACACATCAGCTGTACTGCAATGGCAAGAAAGCTGTGAATGACTCCTCCTCAGATCAGCTTAAAAAGAGACTCTTTAAAAACATCCCAAGTGAAAAAAACAACCGAGGAAGGGCCATTCCTGGTCTTTTATATAAACAGATGCCCAGCCTCCCATAGGTGTCACAGACTGAGTCTGTCCAGAAGACCCTTTGCTATGTTCAGTTACAACTTGAGTTACGCGGCTCAAAGACGGGCAGCCAAATCACATTCTTTCACCTTTGGAGAAAGCCCTTACATGCTCTCCAGTTACCAGCAGATCAAATTTTAGAGCCTGTGCCTTCATCCCAGAAAGTAATGGATCTATCAAACCTAAAAACAGAATATGAAGGCACAGGAAAACAGTTACGCACCATAACACAGCACAGATTTTGTCCTGTGAAGATGCTGTGGAGTCTGTAAAGGATTTCAGCCTCATTGTCAATCTAAGGAAAGAAAATGAACAGAATCTTGTCAGCCATCAGTGCTCTGAAGTCCCACTCTTTATGAAAACTCAGCACATGCCATTATCTCAGACACCAGTCCAAAAGTCAGGAAACCTGCCCCAAGTTCTTAGCGCTGGCACCGAGTGGTTTGTACGATCTCGAGCAGAGGTCTGTGTCTCCAAATGCCTTGTTTCCCAGGCAGCAGGAACAGATGTGGCCCCTTATGTGACTCACTCTCCTCTTACACTGATTAATGGGCAACGTCCCTACAAGTAGAAGCCCTCCATGGGCCACCTCTAGGCCTGGGGACCAGAAGAGGTGCCCCTGCTACTGAAGGTGAAATATTAATTCAAGTGTTTCTGGACAAGACAGACATCTTAGTGGAAGTGTTCCTTCTGGCAAAAACCAAGCAAGCCAATCTCCTTTTTGAAAACAAAGCAACAACAGCATCTTGGAAGTAGAGTCCATCAAGTCAATCAAGCAAAAACTCTTTTTCAGCATACAGTAGAGTTGCTTTGCTCTTCTTAACTGAAATACTACTGAGCTCACGTGCAAAAGCAACACCAGATCTGGATAAAATAAAACCCCTTTCATGTCTTTGACCGTCATAACCAGTGTCCTCTGGGGTACCTCAGCTGCATGGCTCAGGTGCCAGGGAGGACACGGTGCCTTCTTCTGATCAGCAGTGCTGAAACATGTCAAAGGATTTGTCTCTGGTGCCTCGCCATGGGCTGTCATCTCATGCTTGTGCAGCAGCCTGAGCTCTGCTCCATGGGGGGAATCCAGAGCTGCCAGTTGCAAACAGCACAACTCCCCTTTCCACTCCAAACATGCTGCCTGACCATCACACTGTGAAAACCGCTTACTTGAGGAGATCTATGGTGCCGCTGAACATGCTGGAAGCTGATTTTGGTTCTCTTGGGTCCGATTCCAAACAATCCCATATTCAATGATGGAAAGGGCAGCATCTAAGTACTGGAAATCCCTCCTATTCCTGTCGGTCTGTTGGGAAGAAAATTCTCCTGTTCAGACTAAAACAAAAACTACTTCTCTCAAGCGTACCTGAATTCCTTTCTTCTGCCTGGATAGGCAGGAGTTGAGGAAAGAAAAAGATACAAGTCAGGCCTCTGTGTGATAATTAAAGGGTTCTCAGCAGAACCCCTAACGTGGTCCCAGTCATCAGCTCTGTGTGCTCTGGCTAGTTGTATCTCTCCCTCAATGTTTTCCTTGAGTAATTTATTACTTTCAGATGTTTTGGTTATGATCATCTGGTCTCGGAGGCCTGCCTCAGGAGAGGGAGATGGGGTTTGCCCACTGCAATATTTCCTCACTTCATTTTCACAGGTAAATGACAAGTGGCAAATGCACATTATTTGAGCGAACCATAATTAGCAACATAAGATGTTCCTTCACGCACGCTCTTAAACTGCCCATAGCGAGAAAGCCAGTGACATCTGCAACGGGCACTTTTGTAAGTCTTGTTCACCAGAAACACGATTACCGTAAGAATGCTGACGTTTCAGAGTAAACTGTGTTGTAACTAGCTGTTGCACCTCTCTTCCAAGGACTTTGTGGTGGCTCTGCAAAGCAAACAGGCTTGCTGACCTCAGACAGCACCAGTTCTGAATGCTTTCTCTAGGCACCTTCTCTAGATGTGTTTGTAGCCAAGGGAAATGTCTGAACACTTGGCAGATAAAGACAGCATCCCCACAAGTGACTCGAACATACGCCAAGGGTGGAAGTCATGTTAGACAGTGAATCTTATCCCATGCAGGCAGGTATCGGCTCTGAATGCAAGAGCTGGTGAGCATTTCTAGCACAGAGCTGAGACTTACCATTGCATCAGCTTTGTGCTTCAGCCTCCTGGCCTCTTCAGTGTAGTATTCCACCAGATACTGTCTGAATTGGGGACAGAGAGAGGAAAAACAGAGAAAAAGGGTAGGAGAATGATCAATTTTATCTTCCTATCCAGAGGATGTCTGGAGTCCAAACATCCTGTTTCGGTAAGCCTGTCACAGACTTTTCAAACACATGCTATGATTATGATAATCATTAAATGAGTGTTGTCTGCATGTTCAGAAATGTGCAACAGCTGAATGCACAGATAAAATTAATTGTTTTCATAAAAAATGTGTGTTAGAATAACATTTCAAACTAAAAAGCCACTGGAGGTTAGGCTACTGTGAGGCCAGGTTTACTTCTTTGGCCCCACAGAAAGATCGTAGTGGTGGGATCTCCTATCACTCCTCAAGTACAATCCCACAGACACATTTTGATTGAAACAATACAGTAAACTTTGCAGTGCCAGACATTCATCTCGGAGCAAAAGAGCTTGCATTCAAGTTATTTGCTTACAAGAGAGATGGTCGGTCACCAAGGCTCCTCCTGTTGATGGGTCTGATACTTGAACCCTCAAGTCTTACTCACCAAGCATCACAGAAGATTTGGGCTTGGAAGGACCCTTAGAAGTCATCTAGAGCAACCCCCCTGCAGGGATCAGGGACATCTTCAACTAGAGGGCAATTTCTCTTGCCATCCCCTGAAGCCTCTAAACTACCGTGCAGAACAAGCCCGTGCTACTCCCCACAGAACCGCTGCCACCTCCCAGATCACTGCGGGCAATCATCTGCTGGCAGGTTACCACCACTGCAGTTTGGAGAAGGGGAAATGACTCCTGCATCCCCGCAAGCAGGCAGTCCCCCACACTGTTTGCAATGCAAACAACGTGTCATTGTTTTGCACAAATTTGTTCCCTGAACCTGGTCCAAAAGAGCAGTGCAAATCCTTGCCTACCAGCTTAGAAGGAAAAGCAGGATGGGCACAACTGGCAATTAAATTTCTTGCAGCATGAACAGATTTTTGGAGCTACGTGTAATACACAGGCCAGAGCTTGCAGCAAGGTAAGCTGCAGGATGGACAAGTTGGTGTTTAAACCGGGGAAGTCTTCATCCCCATCTCAGCTGTTGGAAATCAGGACAAATGCCACAATGCTTTTGCAGCAGTGTAAACCAAGTGTGTGTGTGTGTGGGGATGACCAGCCACTGAAACATCAGCTTGTGCTTGAATAAGAACCATAATCCTCAGCATTAAGGAGAGAGAGGGTGACACCCAAGTATCACTTCACGTCTGCAACAAATACAAAGGCAGATCAATTACATTCTCACATCTGGTTGGTTCCAGGATGCAAAGAGAAATCTGCAGCAGATGAAGTTTCAGAAAGCACATTAGGTGAGAAGCAAACTCATGACTATGAGGACAGGAGATACAGTTCTTTGCTTAACCTCTTGAAGAAAGACTCGGTTTTATGCATCTTTCTGCCATCCCACCACTGTATACTCACTTCAATTTACTGGAGTCCTTCTTAGCTGAGGACTGCAATGACCTTGTTTCTTCTGATTTCTTTTCTTCCAACCAATATCCTTCTCCACTTCCCTCTAACAAGAATGAAAAATCCACAGCAGGGTTTAGTGATGGGTGTTACTATCAGTGACCCTATTTCAGTTCACAATCTGCATTGATGGACAAGCAAACGGCAGGGGGCTGCTGCCGTCACCCCTAGGAGTAACACAGGTGACACTTGCAGAATTCGTTTGTCTTTGTGCAAGCAAGAAATCATGACTCTTTGTGGAAAGAAGTGACTTCACCCAGGAAAAGGCTGAGTTTGCAGGGCGAAAGGTGCCCACGTGGACAAAACGGAAAAGCCCAGGCAGGGGTGGCCTGGGTGGATTCTCCCTCTGGACACCCCCACAAACTGCAGGCAAGGTGCTCTCCCACAACAGACATTAAAATGGGTAGCACAGGTGGCTGCAGAGTCTGGGAGGCGCTGCAGGTACTGTGCTGCTTTTAAAGGGGTTGCAGGGGAAAGGGGCAGCACAGCCCTCCACAGCTCTGCTTGGCTTGAAAGCCAGAGTGTCCTGGTTCAACTAGGATAGGGTTAGATTTCCCCAGCAGAGAGAGAGGGGAAGGGATGTCCAGCCGGGTTATTCACACCATGCTGACATCAGGTCCGGCACAGGAGCGTGGGAACTTTTTCCTTTGAGGCTTTGGTCACGGGAAGCACGCGAGCGAGCTGTCTGTAACCATTGCGGTATTTCTCTGTATATCTTTTGTCTTGTTTACTATTATTACTGTTTATTGCTGCTATCATGGCTATTGTTGCTGTTGTTCAGATTGTTTATCACACTGTTGTATTAAATTTCTTCTTATTTTAACCCGGGGTTTGTGCCTCACTTCCAGCCCGACCAGCTGAGAGTGGGGGAAGGGCAAAAGCGATGTGGTCTCCGGTCCCGGCAGGGCCTAAACCAACACAGTAGCTTATTCTAATGTAACTCTCCCGTCAAAAGGATTTTAAGAGTATGTGTCTGATAATGTTAAACAGGTAAGTTAATTTCAGGATAGGATTATTTCAGCTTCCTAAGTACTCACTGTCAATCTAAAAACATTTACTTTTTCTTCCATAAATTGCTTCTTCATGTAGTCATTCAGAGA